GGAAGACCGCAATGATAATACCAACATGGGCCAGTGAAGTGACGTCCTCCACAACTAGACTGAAGAACCAAAGGACAGCAACTTGTTTGTTCCCCTCCCCCAAGTCCCCAATTTTAAAACATGAAAAATCTTAAAAAAAAAAAAAAAGAAAGAAAGCAGAGCAACTTTGTACAAAATCTACAACAGAGGAGGAGAAAATACTTCCTAGGTCATTTTTTGAAGCAAGGGGAAGGCAATAAAAACACAATTACAGGTCAAAATCATTCATTAATACAGACATAAGAACACTCAAAAAACACCAGCATAGCGATTCTGGCAGAACCGAGGAAGGACAACACACCAGGACCACGTGGCATCTGCCCAGGAAGGCACGGCTGGTGCAGCCCCGCAGCCAGGCGCTGCCGAGCTCGACAGGTAACAGAACTGGGGAAGTCAACCTGCTCGACAGGCACAGAGGAAGCCTGTCAACATGCAAAACCCACTCATGAGTTTTTAAAATAGTAAAAAAAAAAAAACCAAAAAACCTCAGCAAAGTGGGGATTGAGAGAAACATCTTCAATCTGAGACATGGCAACTACAGAAAATCTACAGCTGACATGAGGCTGAAGGTGCTTTCTTTCTAAGACTGATGACAAGGCCATGGTGTCTGCTCTCAGCACCACACCACAACATGCTACTGGAGGTCCGAGTCAGCGCAAGGAAGCTGGAAAAAGAGCAAAGAAAGAACTAAAACTGTTCTTACGTGCAGGTGATACGACTGTGAAGGCAGACAACTCCAAGGACGCTACTGAAAATCCTGGACCCGCACTGTAACCTCAGCATGGCTCCGAGGTCCTCGACCCGCCGGCCCCGCGGCCTCTCAGCCTCAGCCACGGATGGTCGGCTTCTCCTCAGACACTGCAAAGCCGTTACCATCCACGGCCTTTCTACTCGCCAGGCCCGGCGGCACCCCCACCCTGGACACTGATGGATGCCCCTGTGCCCACGGCTCCGGCTGTGCTCTCCAGCCCCGCTCTGAGGGGCCCTCCCCGAGTCACCCCCATCCCAGCCTCTCCCTGTTCCCAATTTTGTTCCTCCTCCCTAACACTTTCTGATACATGACACTGTATTACACATTCCTTTGGGTACCTGTTTACTGTCCCTCCCACCAGACTGAAAACTCAGCATGGCAGAAATTTCATCTGTCACTGACATTGGTGCCACCAGCATCCAGAACAGCGCCTGACACACACTGGGCAGTCAGGTGTGTACTGAGTAAATGAACAGGTCACGGTAACAGAGTCCCTAGTGAAAAGCAGCCTTCAGACGTGAAGCACCCCACCGTTCGTACTGCGTCTGACACCCTGACAGCAGGTTCTGTACCAGCTACAGAGGGGGCGCAGGCCCAAACTCACGCTGGCGGCTGCCTCTGGAGAGAAACACAGCAGGGCAGGGCAGCGCAAGTCCCGACGCTATCTGTGAGGTCCCGTTAATGAACTCTTCCAAGCTAACCCTGTTAGTTCTGGGTGGTGGGGCACAGGCCTGGGTTCTCTTCCTCGGCCCGCTTGTCTGCGCGGCTGAAATTTCCTAATGAGAAAAGAGCTTGCCCATTTCGGGAATGCCTTACAAGCAGAAGTGAAGACTGGTGTGGGTAAGGGCGGCTTCACACATCAGTGGGACGAAGCAGCGAAATCCCAGAAAGATAGCCACACAGTTATGCCAGGCGGTCCCATGGAGGGAGGGCGGTGTTTGCAATAAACGGTGCTGGGGCAACCGGACACCCTTCGGCAAAGGAGAAAAGAACTTCTGATCTAAACGTTACACTTTACAACAATAACTCTGTACAAATGTAAAGCTAAGAAACTTTCAAGAAAGCCTAGGGAAAAATCTTCAAGCCCTACAGCCAGGCAGAGCTCCTCGACTCGGCAGCAATGCAGGAGTCATACAAGGCAAATCTGCAACAGCTAAAGTCCGGTAAAAACTGGATCTGCAAACGGCCCTGTTGAGAGGGTGAAAATATGAGCTGCCGACTAAGAGACAGTCTGACAGAGCACTCGTATCTACATCAATAACAAAAATATGATTAGAAAACAAGCAAGAGACACGGAGACACTTCACCGGCGAGGCGAGGAGGGCGGGAGTAGGCACATGGCAGCCTTAGAGAAACGCAAAGCAAACCGCAGTGAGGCGCCACGACGCCTCTTAGAGCAAACACGCAAACACAGTACAAATGCCAGCCAGGCCTCCAGAAACTGGGTCAGCGTCTGCCCCCCAGAAGTCATGTGTGGAAGTCCCAACCCCCACGTGACTGTGTGAGGAGCCAGGGCGCAAGGGAGGTGGCCAGAGTTAGAAGGGCCCACAGAAGAGGCCCTGCCCCTGGGTTGGCATCCTAAAGAGGAAGCGCCCCCATCAGATCGCTCCTCTCACAGGCAGAGTTGGTGCCGAATGAACTATGGACACACCAGCCCGGGGGGATCTCAGAGCTGGGGGTGTGTGTGTGGAGGGGGCAGGGGGGCAACTCCACACGTACGTGGGGCTCCATTTAGACAGCATTCTTCAAATGACAAAAAAAGCGATGGAGAGCAGGTGAGTGGTTTTGGGGCTCAGGATGCAGTGTGCCTAGGAAAGGACATGAGGGACCTGTGTTGGGTAAGAACTTCTGTGTTTTGACTGTGTCAATGTCGAGATCCTGGAGGTGACCCTCCCTCTAGTTTTCAAGATGTCACCACTGGGAGAAATGGGCAAAGTGTCCCGGGATCTCTCTGCATCACTTCTTACCACTGGATGTAAGTCTGCAGTTTTCTCA